CATGCCTTTCCATTTCTCAGGGTAAAAAGCAAAATCCTTCTCAGGCCTACACAAGGCCCGGTGTGATTTTGCTGCCTTCCCTTTCTTTCTTCTTCCATCATCAACAGTTCTTTCTATGCTCCTGTTTGACTTCCTTTTGCAGGACATGCATCACTATCTAATCTACCATATAATTTACCTTTTCATTTTTTATTTACATTTTTATAATTTACTTTTTTTTCATTTTGTCTGTTTCCACTGGAATGTATGCTTCACAGGGACAGGGATTTCTGTCTTTTCTTTTTTTCACTGATATATTCTCTACTGCCAAGCACGCAGTAAGCATACAATGAACACTGGGGGAGAACACTTGTTATATGAATGACTGACTGAAGGGAGTGGGGAGGAAGATTGTCTAAGAAGATATAATTCAAGAAAATGAGTGCTAAAATCAGCAATACAAGTAAAAAGTTCTGTGATTGCTGAATCTTCTAGAAAATAAAAGATTATTTCTGAGATTATGGCTTCTTGAGTAAGTCATTGCTTTTTCTACACTTAATATGAAATGAAAGGAAGGCAGTATTCACACTTTTAGAAAACACCCATCCTGCTAGGTTAGGGCAGTGTCGTAAGCTTCTGCCTGGCATAGCTTAAGCAGGTTAATATAGTTTCCCAGCTTCATAACGTTCAATGGTTTCCCGAGTGCTATGGGGAGGAGACCAGGGAATACTTAGCTCTACTTAAAAGATTTCAGTTGTTGCTAAGATTATATATTTTAAGAAAACCGTTGTGTTAATTTTTGATTATGTAAATATATTAGAAAAGACACAAATATAAACAGAAAATGATCACTTATAATGTCTCCAAACAGATGTCCTCTGCTAACAGTCTGGGGTATAATCTAGATTTTCTTTTTTCTTTTAAAGGTTTTATTTATTTATTCATGAGAGAGAGAGAGAGAGAGAAGCAGAGGGAGAAGCCGGCTCCCAAGGAGCAGGGAGCCCGATGCGGGACTCGATCCCAGGACCCTGGGATCATGACCTGAGCCGAAGATAGACGCTTAACCATCTGAGTCACCCAGGCGCCCACTGGGGTATAATCTAGATTTTCTTCTGAGCATGTATTTACCTGCTTTTTAGTTAAATTTTTTTCTTTTAGTTTACAAAAAAAAGGAATCATTCTTTCTATACTATTGTATAACCTCCTTTTTACATTTAACAATATACCATGATCATTTTTCCATTAATGTACCTCTACAAGTATAAATCTGAGTGGCTGATTCGTAGTCCATAGTGTGATGCATCTCTTATGATAGGATCTTTCTGTCGTATCCACTTTTTGTAGGAGCATTAAAAGTGTCTCAGACTTCATTAAACCTTTAGTGAAGGCATAAAAAAATGGAAGTCATTAATGAAGTCAAACTTCTTAAGACTTTAAGCTGCATTCCTTTAAGAGGACAGGAATGACAGAATGGTGTTGTAGGAACGTGTTCTGCAGAAAAGTATTTAAATCTCTTGATATAAAAGCACAGATACTGGACCAGGTTCAAGGTATAGAGCTTGAGGCCATTGGTTTCTGACTCAATTTGAAGCTGAGGCCATAACCATCTTAGCCAAATAGTTAGGTTTTCTCAGGCAGAGTTCTCAGCTGATTTCATTTCACAAAGAAGCCTTCCTGTTTAAATTCTACAGAGTAGTAAACTTCTACTCATTTTCTGAGGAGACTGTAGACATACGGAAAATCAAAAGGATAGTAAGAGTAATTTGCATTGTCCACCCGGTAATTGTACCCTTAGCCTTTGGTTTTGCCCAAATTAAAGTGTGTTCATGTGTGTGTGTAAATACTAAAATTTGGAAATATAAATTCTGTGTTTGTTCACAGTTTTATTCCATTACCTGAGTTGATGAGCAGAGTATTTGGACAATTAATGACTTAATGAATTAATGTCCCTCATTCAGAAGGTCCTATCTGGTCTGAATGTTTGTGACTCCCAAAAATTCTTATGTTGAAATCCCAACTCCCAAATGTGATGGTATTAGTAGGTGGGGCCTTTGGGAGGTGCTTAAATCATGAGAGGGGACCCTCATGAACGGGATCTGTACCTTATCAAAGAGGATCCAGAGTGGGGAGCCTGGGTGGCTCAGTTGTCAAGTGTCTGCCTTCGGCTCAGGTTCATGATCCCAGGGTCCTGGGATCGAGACCCGCATCAGGCTCCCTGCTCTGCAGGGAGTCTGCTTCTCCCTCTCCCACTCCCCCTGCTTGTGTTCCCTCTCTCGCTCTCTCTGTCAAATAAATAAATAAATAAAATCTTAAGAAAAAAAAAGAGGATCCAGAGAGATTCTTTATTCCTTCTGTCATTTGAGGACTTGTGGAGAAGTCTGTGATCTGGAAGAAAGCCCTCACCTGACCATTCCAACACCCTGATCTCAGATTTCCAGTTTCCAAAACTGTGAGCAATAAGTTTCTGCTGTTTATAAGCCACCCATCACTTAATCCCCACTAGGAGGAGGAGATTAAGAGATATAAACATCGGGGCGCCTGGGTGGCTCAGTCGTTAAGCGTCTGCCTTCAGCTGAGGTCATGATTCCAGGTCCTGGGATCGAGTCCCGCATCGAGTCCCGCATCGAGTCCCGCATCGGGCTCCCTGCTCGGCAGGAAACCTGCTTCTCCTTCTCCTACTCCCACTGCTTGTATTCCCTCTCTCGCTGTGTCTCTCTCTGTCAAATAAATAAATAAAATCTTAAAAAAAAAGATATAAACATCAAGTTACAAAATAAATAAATCATGTCACGGTGATGTAATATACAGCACAGGAAAGTCATTAATATTATAATAACTTTATAGTGACAGTAGCTAGTCCTATCAAGGTGATCATTTCGTAATGTGTAAAAATATTGAATCGCTGTTATTTATACACCTGAAACTAATATAATATTGTATGTAAATTATAATTCAATTTTTTAAAAAACCAGTCTGTGGTATTTTGTTACAGCAGCCTGAACAGACTAAGACAGAAGGTAAATTAATAAGTATTTTTCTTTTTTTAATAAGTATTTTTCAACATCCTTAATTTTACAAATATTTCAACAGATAAACATAATAAAAATCAAGGTATAATCTTCCCCTGCATTTTTGTCTTTTCTCACATAGAGAGATAAAATGCATTTTGCTTCCCTACATATCCTGTTTTAATATAAGTTTCTGTAGAAAGGAAATGTAGCAAACATAATTATTACTAATCTCCAAATTCAGGACAGTAGTTACTTGTGCTGGGTAAAAAGTATATTATTTTCAACTAGAAAATTAAAGTTCCTATCAAAGAGACAAATAATAGAGCAAACATAAACAATTAGAACAAAACGTTCAAGGTCACTTTAAAGAGAAAGTGTACTTCCTCAGCCAAGCCTCCTTGTAACTGGATTGGGGTTATTTACATGTCTAAACAAAGTATGTGAGTTGGGGGTGGGGTCTAATGAAAGTTTAGAAAGGGAGAGTCCTCAGAGCAAACTCCTAGCCTTCCCTCTACCAGTACTTATTGAATTACATTCTATGGAGAAAAAAACAAGGCTAAACAATATGCCCAGCTAGTAAAAAGTAGATCTGAGATTCGAAACCACTAGACCTTATTGCTTCACTGAAAATGTTACATAGATGTATTTAAATCATCTAGCAAATATTTATTAAACACTTTTATATGCAAGGCATTTTGCCAGGGGCATATGGGATATATGAAGAATTAGACATTTGTGGAGATAATGGAAAGAGATGTACTTTGGTTTCATATAGACTTTTGGATCCCAGTTCCTTGGAAAATTACTCTTGTAACTGCAGTTTTTAAGTCAATACAATGAAATGGCTGTTAAAAACAAAATACCTCTTAGGGACCAGCACACAAGGGGCCCTTCATAAATTTACCCTCTCCCCAACTCCACTGTGTTTTCAAGAGGCCACGTTATCATTTAGTCTTCATGAATGGGGAAGGTTGTAAATGATTTGAATCCTAAGATGGTTTCTTGATTTGGACTGGTTGACATGGGAGAGACAGCAAATGTAGTGAAGTGTGTGGATTGTGAGTAGGTCCTGTCCATTGGAGTTTACAGGGAGGGAGAAAACTAGCAGCTGTACACCTAGCCTGCCTACTTGCAAAATTTCCTTCCATTATAGTGTCGGTTCCTACAAACATAATCTTTCGACAAAAGCCTGAAATCAAGGCATCTTCTCTAACTAGATCTCTAAGGAGCAAGTTTTCCCGTAAATTGGACTTACTGATTCATTTAACAAACACTTCTCACTTTTTCAAATAATATTTAGGATTGCAGTTAAAATCTAATTGCTACAATCTGAGGATGTAGGAATCAAAAGACACTGTCCCACTTTTCAAGGAGATACAAATGTAAACAATTTACCTTTAGAGGTGACAAGAGGTATCTAGAGCCGCCCAAAGGAAGAAAACGATTTTCCCTTGGGGCAGTTCAACTCTAAAGTCATAGGAAAATAGGCATATTTTACAGGCTATAAAATTATACGCCATTCTTAAACATTTAAAAGAAAGAAATGGACAATTTTTTTCACAATATCAATTGTAATGCTCATTCTGCGACGCTTTAGGGCAAAGCTCGCAGAAAAACAGAGGACGCGTGATTAAGTCTTACGGAGTTACCGCTCTCTGAAGCCAGTCCCCATTTTTTCCTCAAAGTAAAAGCGTGTGGAAATTACACTCTTGGATTTTAAAGGAACATACCACTGGGGATACCAAGAAGAGGAACCCGAATGTCGCAGTTTTCCAAGTGTGGTCTGCCCCTCCCACGTGGTAGGGTTTTGGCAACTTGACCCTCCTTCCTCCTGATGCCGGGGAAGATTCTAACGCCCTCTGGAGCCGTCCCTAATGACGTCACGAGCGCGATTCCAGTCCGTGGCCAATGACAGGGCCGGATTCCGGGGGAAGCCCGGGGCGGCGACGGCGGCCTGTGCGCGTGCGCGAGGTCTCCGCGTGGCTATATAAACATGGCTGGCGTGGCCGCGCGGCGGGGCCACGCCGAATGTGTGTAGGGGGCTTAGGGGCGCTCGGGTTTGTAGTTTTGAAACTTCTGGCGGGGGAACTGGGGCGCAGAGTTTTGCTGGGTGGTGGGAGCCGAAGTGACGCCCTTCCGGAAACCCCGCAGCGGGGCTCCGCTGCTGCGGGACCCGATGCTGAGGCGCGGGGCTGAGCCGGCGCACGTGTGAGCGCCGCTGAGGAAGCGGCGAGCGGCAGAGCAGGTGTCGCTGCAGCCGGGGCCGCACGTACCAGAGGGAAGTCCGGGACGCGCGGGTCTCGGTGTCCAGCCGGCGCCCGTCACTGACTTCTGTGTCGCGGCCCCTGCGCCTCTCCCTAGCGATGCTGTGGAGCCGGAACTGCTCTGGAGTCGGCTGCCGCTTGTCAAGCCTCCCCTAGCCTCTGCTCCCGGAACGGCAGCGTCGCAGCTGCCGCTGATCCACCTGGGGATGCCCGCGGGCCTCACGGAACCGGCCGGCGCCGCTCCCCCCGCCGGTGTGAGCGCCTCCGGGACCGTGACGATGGCCCCCGCTGGGACTGTGCCTGTCCGTGTGGAGAGCACCCCGGTGGCCTTGGGCGCCGTGACTAAGGCTCCTGTCAGTGTCTGCGTGGAGTCCACGGTGTCCCAGCCCCTGCGGTCCCCCGTGGGGACCCTGGTGACCAAAGTGGCTCCTGTCAGTGCTCTTCCTAAACTCAGCAGCGGCCCCCCGCTGCCTGCTCCTCAGATAGTCGCTGTGAAAGCCCCCAACACCACAACAATCCAGTTGCCTGCTAATTTGCAGCTTCCTCCAGGTACGTCGATCACCTTTTCCAGCTTACCCATCGGTCCAGCCAGCGGCGACACGGGAAACGTCGCAGCTCCGGATTGTGCCTTCTTGCTGGTAGCTCTAAAAAACTCAGCCGAGAGAACCTGTCATAATCGACTTTGCAGGGCAGTGATTTGGCTTTACAATTAATATAGCCTCTTTGAATCATTACTGCATAGTTCTTTCCATATTTAAGGAAAGAATTTCTTCACCCAAGTGATATACAGTAAACGCTGGAGCAGTATATTCAGGAGGGCCTTTGAGGCACTGGCTTCTAGGAGGGAGAAGGTAGAATATAGCTAAAGTTTTTATTTTTATGTGGAGAAGAGACCAATTTATATATCCACACGCTTAGACAGCTATATTTTTTTTTAAAAAAAGTTTATTTAATAAGTTCTTGTGTGTTAAGGTCGAAAGATAATTTTAAATTTAAGCAAGCTAAAATAAGTTCACTGCTTTTCTAGTACCAGAAATGAATAATGCTGCTTCCTGCACAATCTTTACATGTGTGATGATTGTAATTTTCAGTAGAAGAATACCTCTCATAGGGAGCAGTGCCAGAGTTGACAGATCAGAGGCATAGGATTGTTATATTTGAAGCAGCGTGTGATGCTACAGTTAATAAGTCTGTGACTACTTTTTATCCGAGGGTTTACATGTTTGGGCTGTGTTTCATGATTTATGCAAAGATTTTGCTTTTTGATCATTCCGCATATTGTAAATTTGAGTGTTCTACCTTCTTTCTTTCCTCAGCTGAAAGTCTTGGAATTTCATTGGGGAAAAAAAGCACATATCACATTCTTTGGAGTGAATTCTACTCTTAATTATTATCGTCTTCTATTTATTTTGCTTAGCAGTAATTGGAACTCAGACCTGCAAAGGTGGTAAAGAAGTGAAGCACTGGATTCGAGATTTTAGTATCCCCTGGCAAAATGATAGGGGCTCTTTTGTAGCTAATGTTCTGTTTAATCATGAACATTGTGGAAAGATTATGTTCTTTACTTTTGATGAAGTTCTTTTTCAGTTTTGTATGGTATAGGAGATGCATACACTTAATCGCTGTGCTGTGTATGCCACTGGATACATTTTCTGCGAGTTCTAAATTGTCATCGTGCATATACTTACAAAGTAGTTATGAATGTTTTTGAATGAAATCACCTCCTAATTTGTTAAAAACTAAATTCCTGTCTAGTCAGTGAAGATTGTTTGGAAACAATCAAAAAAGTATTAAAATACAGAAACTATCAAGAGTAAAAACTTGGTAAGTGGGAACTCATAACAAATCGAAGGCATACTGTGTTATACACTTTTTATAATTTATATTCGTTGGTCATAATAGGTAGGAAATAAGGAAAGGTCTCTAAGGGTAAATAACTTGCCCAATGCCAGACACCTCATAGGTGTCAGGGAATTTGAATCCAGGTCTGTTTATTCTTTACGCAATACTGTGCTTACCACTTATTGTGTGTGTAGGATTTGCCTCATTGAGTATCAGGGCTAAACAGTGACATAGAATTTTAGAGCCTCATCTTTTGTATACAAAGAAACCAAAACTGAAACTTGGCCGAGCTATACAGCTGGGAACCAGGACCACAGCGTAGGTGTGCACCACACTAAAACATTTTAGGTTACTGACCGTGGAAAAACTTACAGGAGAGAGGAGATAAATTGCCTTTAAGAATTGTTAATTACAGAGGAGGTGGGGAGGTACTTTGAAGAACAGCTTTTGGGAATATTTCAGCTGATGGGTGGCAGAAGACCATACAGACCTTTGTGCTCTCATTGGTGCACAATAGGATAACCAGTAGTTGAGGAATAAAATGGAAACACTGATTAAAGTAACTTTAAAAAAATTATAAGTTTTGTACCATTTCTTTTATATCCTGAGGATTAGTAATTTATTACGCAGGGATGTTTAATCACATAGAAGTCAGCTTTTCTTTTGCCAAGATAATAATTATTGGATTTCTGTTTACTTCAGAATTTCCTCAATGAAAAGAAGTGGTTTTTGAAAAGTATAAATATGCACCACAGGTTTTTCTAGGGAGCAGGGGCTGGAAATAAAAAGGGGCAGAATTGTGAGGAAATGAAAGAAGCTATAGCAAAGCTCTGAAAATTACTCTGTCGAATGTTTTTGGTAATCTCTTTGATCTTCTTGGTCTTCTCTTTTATGAACATGTGGGATTTGGGGCCAGACTGCACTTCTTTCTGTTTTTGGTATTCTGTGTCTCTTCTATCACTTGTTTGAGAATAATGATCAAGGATTTGGTTGCTTCTGCTATGTCATAAACTGGTAACTTCTGCTTGATGGTCGTACTGTACAGAAGTCTGTGAAAGTTACTTGTAAAATGGTTCCGGTCTTTTTTCATCAACTTTTTCATGCTCAGGCATAGCATAGGATTTGGACCTTTTCTCAAATTCCTGAACCAGTTCCCGGATAAGCTAGCAGTTCTTGTTTCCACCCTGGCTTTATCAAAAGGGCATTGCATGAGGGTAGGGACTCTGTCGCTGACTTAATTACCCAGAACCTAGTAAGTTCCTTGCTCAGAGAGGGCACCTGAATATTTGCACACATTAGTATATGTGGAGAGAGAAGAGGAAAATAGGACTGCAGCCCCTAAGGGATTCCAAGGACCATTACACATACCATTGCATTTTATTTTTAATTTCTTTGCTCATTCTGCTTACAAGAGCAGCATGTGCTCATGTAAAAGAAAAAAAGCATTACTGAAACGTAAAATACCCCCTTCACCAGAGTATTGCTATTAACAATGTTATCCTTTTCATGTTAGTAACTATAAATCTTCCTTATTTTTTATATTGCTAAGTAGTCCACTATATCAATGTACCATCATGTTTTGACCACTTTGCTATTCGTAGATATTGATATGGTTTGCACTACTTTCTGTTATTACAAATGATGCTATAATAAACATCTTTGTGTATTTTTGTGCCTGTTTTGTAAATGTGTTTTTTATAGGATAAATTGCTAGAAGTGGAATTGTTTCAAAAGGTAATCTTTTCATAGGATTACCAAATTTTATCCCCAAAAGATCATTAAAATGCATAATCAACAATGTTAATACTTAATTTTAAAAAGCTAGCTATGGGGGTGCCTGGGTGGCTCAGTCAGTTAAGTGTCTGTCTTCTGCTGGGGTCATGATCCCAGGGTCCTCTCTGCTCAGTGGGGAGCTTGCTTCTCCCTGTCCCTCTGCCACTCCCCCTGCTTGTGCTCTCTCTCTGTCAAATAAATAAATAAAATCTTAAAAAAAAAATAAGCTACCTATGAAATCTAATAAGTAATTTTCCAGACTTAACTTTCATTAACAGTAAGAGTAGATGAGTCCTATAATTGAGTGGAGAGAGATAGACTTCAAGTTTAGAGAAATATGGGTGGATGATAATGTTATATAGATTTGTTACTTACTGAGTAACTGTGCCTAAGAGGGCTCTTGTTAGTTTGTGAAGTAAAGTAAGTATATAATATAGAGTAGCTGGGAAGGTTTAGTTCAGGGCAAGTTTAGTTCAGAGTAAGGACTAGGTGTGCTAATCAGATTTATAGATAACAAGGGGCTTGGTGGGTTAGCCTCTTGTGGAAAGCAGTGAAGTGTAGCAATAAAGGGCAGAACACTGGCCTTGGAATCAACAGACCTGGATTTGAATCCCAGCTCTAACACTTAATAAGTTTGTGATTTGGGGCAGGTTTATTAACCTCATCCTCAATGTCAATTTTCTTATGTCCAAAATGGGATCATACCTTCTTCATGGAAGTATCATATGGGTTAACTAAGAATATAGGTCTACATGTCACAGAACTCTAAAGAACACCATTTTTGTGGAATACAGAGTTGCATAGCAGGCATGCCCTAAACATTTAAGGTACCTGTATAGCATTGGGCTATAGGTACTCTGGTTGCTATTTATCTAATGTATATTGGCATCCACCAAATTCACTATAATTTATTTTTTAAAAGATTTTATTATGATTTCGAAGGATGGATTTTGGAATAACCTCAATGTCTATGTGTCCCCACTTTTTTATGTCTGTTACTCAAAATTTGGAAAGTACAGAAAAATTACCCCAAATATTTTGAGTGTATCTTTTAGTTTCCTTTTTTATATAAACTTTATGGAGCTACAGTTTTTTACATGTATATTTATTTTGAAAAGGAAACCATTTACAGTAAGTTTTGAAAAATTTGACAAAGATATAGCCACCACTCCAAGATATGGAGAACATTTCACTCCCCCCAAAGTTTAGTCTCTTTGGGGGGAAAAAAATGTGTGGATGCTTCCTTTATTTTCTTTTTTTACATAATTGGGATTCTGTTATTTAATTTCTATATCCTTCTTTTCCACTTATTATATAGTGACAATTTTGTATGTTCTAACCTCAAAAGTTTAATTTTAATGGATGCATAATCCATTATTTAATCTTTTCTCTATTCATTTAGGTTGCTTATGCCTTTGTGTTTAAAAAAATTATAAATAAAAGTAAACAGAATGTTTTTATATTTAGATTGTGGTGTGTGTCTTATTTTCTTGGGACAGATAACAAATTCCAAGAATTTTGGAATTTCTGGATCAAGGAAATACGAGTATTTTAAAGTTCTGTGTTTTTTAACCTACTCACACATTTCAGTGCTAACTGTATACTAGGTTTTATGCTCATTACCATGGATGCGGTGGTAAATAGACACAGTACCTCTCCTGGAAATTAAAGAGATTTTGAGAATTTCCTTAGGTTATTCTGGGCTTAATTTTTCTCCAACAGTATTATTTTTGTAAACTAAGACATGTAAAAACAAATATGGCAACTTAAAAAGAAGGTAAAACCACCTGAAAACATATCCTACTTTTAAAAGATGAAATTTAATAAAGTTAATAGAAGTTCTGTTTTGGGGCACCTGGGTGGCTCAGTCGTTAAGCGTCTGCCTTCTGCTCAGGTCATGATCCCAGGGTCTTGGGATTGAGCCCCACGTCTGG